CAGTTTTTCTGCAGCCTCAGCAGTGTTTTTTGTTGTCACTATTTATTTTATCAGAGTAGTGTTTTAGAAGTTTTAAAAGAAGTTGTAATAGGCGTATAGTGATATGTCATTGTGCTTTAAATGTGCATTTCCCTAATGGCTGATAATGTTAAATGTCTTTTTATGTGCTTATTTAACATCTGTATATTCTCTTTGGTGAAATATCTGCTTAAGAATTCTTTTTTTTTTTTTTTTTTGAGACTAGGTCTTGTGTTGTTGCCCAGGCTGGAGTCAGTGGTGTGATCTTGGCTCGCTGCAAACTCCAGCTACAGGGTTCAAGCGATTCTCCTGCCTTAGCCTCCCAAGTAGCTGAGATTATAGGTGCATGCCACTATGCCTGGCTAATTTTTGTATTTTCAGTAGAGATGGAGTTTTGTCATGTTGGCCAGGCTGGTCTCTAACTCCTGATCTCAAGTGATCTGCTCACCTCCACCTCCAAAAAGTGCTGGGATTACGGGTGTGAGCCACTGCACCTGCCCCCTCCCCTTTTTTTTTGCCTATCTTCTACTTGGATTGTTTGTTATTTTGCTGTAAGTTTTGTGAGCTCTTTGTGTATTCTAGATACTAGGCCTTTGTTGGATATGTGGTTTGCAGATATTTTCTCCTAGAATGTTTATGTCTTTTCATTGTTTTAATAGGATCTTTTACAGAGCGAAAATTTTAAATTTTGTCGAGGTCCAGTTTATCAAATTTTCCTTTTATGGATTATGCTTTTGGTGCCAAGTCTAAGAACTCTTTCCCTACCCCTAACTCTTGCCCCCATTTCCTTGTGAGGCCACTGGAAGGAAAGAGCAAATGTGTCTGGAGAGACCCGTGCTCTTGGGAGAGCAGCAGCTGCCTGCCCTGCCTCTGTCTCTGGGTGCCCACTTCCCCATTCTCTCCTCACCTCCTGCATGGTGTTCTTTAACATTTTTTCTGCAGTGTTTTTGGTGGTGAAATTGTTCTGAGTGATTTAATCTTCCCTCTCAAGACGAAGGGATACCTGACCGTTGTTTCTGAGGTAGAAGCTGATGAGGCACTTACATACGTGGTGGCAGCCCAAGGGGAATTCTTGCCTGGGTGTGGGAATGATTCCATCTTCTTCGGTAGCTCATCTGTTTTGTTTTCCTCCTCTTTGCTGCACAGGAAGATGTAGGTAGGATCTACAGGCTCTGTAATCGTGTCTCACTCTTGGGAGATAATGGTCTCCCCTCAGGGTGCTCCTATTCACCAAAGACATGAGTCCTTCTTGTTCCTGACTGCTGCAAAGGGGCCAAGGGCCAAAGGGGAACCAGGCTGTGTTGCCCTGTGCTGCTCACGAGTGAGTACCAGTGTCAGATTTCTCTTAATTGCAAAAGTACACACAGTTCATTGTAGGAGTTCTAGACAATAGAAATAAACCAGATCCACTTATAATCCCAGAATGTGGTGTTTAACATTTTGGCCTATTCCCACCTTGCCCAGTTTTTTTTTTTTTTTGAGACAGGGTCTCACCCTGTCACCCAGACTGGAGCGCAGTGGCGTGATCTCAGTTTACTGCAACCTCCACCTCCCACACTCAAGTGATCCTCCTACCTCAGCTGGGACTACAGGTACCTGTCACCACACCCAGCTAATTTTTGTATTTTTTGTGGAGACGGGGTTTTGCCATGTTGCCTAGTCTGGCCTTGAATTCCTGGGCTCAAGTGATCCATACCTCTTGGTGTCCCAAAGTGCTAGGATTACAGGCATGAGCCACCAGGCCATCCTCCTTCCTCCACTGCAGTCAGTATTCTTTTATAAAATGACAATATACAGCAGCATTTTCATATATCTTGAAGCAATGTGAGTGAGCTTATCTAGCAGTGCATCAGGAGGCCTGATCCATGGGAGCACACGGGCTGGCTCCTTTTAGGGTTCCCCCAGGGCCTGTAAGTCACATTCTCTATCTTGTGCCCCAGGGATGCTGAAAGCCTCTCTGTTGTTGCTCTGCCTGGGGGTGCATTCTCCTCAGTGCATACGGGGTAGGTCTTGGGGGCTGTCATTTCCTCTCCTTTCTTCCCCGGCCACCCAGTTCCACTGGTCACTGCTGACCAATATCTCCTGCTTGGTAACTGGATTTCACTTTGGCAGGAGAGACTCTAGCTCAAGGGGAGGAACCCTGAACATGGGGATAATGGCCAGTGGCCTGGATAAGTGAGAGTTAAAGAAACATAAACTAATTTTCTTTGGATGGAAGTTTATACATAAAGACGATATTCACCTAGACTTGCAGAGAATATGATGTGCTGTTTATTGCATAAATACATTTGATTGTAAAACAATATTAATGTTAGATTTGGGCATATGCAGCCTTAGTTAACTGGGAATTGTGGCTCTGGGACCATCTGCTGCCTGCTCTCCAGACTGCCACACCGGCCTGGGAAGCTGGCTCTCTTGCGATGGAGGTTAGAGCAAAACCCCTGCTAGAGTTAGCCTGTGCCTCCTGGGGTCTGTAGGGAAGCGAGGCTGGAGCAGCTGCAGTTCAGACATTTTGTGGCGGTGGGTATCGCAGGCAGCAGGATCAGCAGTTAGAGTTTGCATTCTGACCACAGACATAAATTTGAATTCGGGCTCTGCTGCTCTGAGCCTCAGCTTCCTCTTCTGTAAAGTGGGGATAACAATAACACATACCTTGTTGGGTCACTGTAAGGTTTAAAAACAGGTGCTTATTAAGTGCTTATCACAGGGGTAGGCACATGTAGTAGGTTACTTCTCCAGGAAAGACGGGAGCAGTACCTTGTTTATGTCACTGTTAATTTTTGTGTCAGCTTGGCCAGGCCACTGCTAAAGACTGACTGACTGTGTCCCCCACAAATTCATATCTTGAAACCCAGCCTCCAGCATGATGGTACTTGGAGGTGGAGCCTTTGGGATGTGATTAGGAGATGAGAGTGGTGCCTTGTGAGTGGGATTAGAGCCCCTAGGAAAGAGGCTCCTGGAAGATCCCTTGTGCCTTCTACCAGGTGAGGACATAGGGAACAGATGGCCACCTAGGAACCAGGAAGCACCAGATACCAAGTCTGCTGTTGCCTTCATCTTGGGCTTCCCAAACCCCAGAATGGTGAGAAATAAATTATTTATAAGCTACAAAGTCTATGGTATTCTGTTAGAGCAGCCTGAACGGACTAAGACAGCCATGGTCTCTGATGTCTAGTCAAACACTACTCTAGATGATTTTGTGAAGGTATTTAAAAAATGAGATTAACATTCATTTCTTTACTTTTATTTTTTTGAGACAGTATGTCACTCTCTTACCCAGGCCGGAATGCAGTGGTGAGAGCATGGCTCACTGTAGCCTCAAACTGCTGGGCTCAAGGGATCCTCCCACCTCAGCCTCCCCAGTAGCTGGCACCACAGGTGCACACCACCATGTCTGGCTGATTTATTACATTTTTTTTTTCTTTTGTAGAGATGGAGTCTCTCTATGTTGCTCAGGCTGGTCTCAAACTCCTGGGCTCAAGGGATCCTCCTACCTTGGCCTCTCAAAGTGCTGGGATTACAGTCATGAGCCACCACACCCAGCTCAGATTACCACTTAAATCAATAGACTTTGAGGAAAGCAGATAACCTTCTGTGATGTAGGTGGGCTCCATTCAATCAGTTGAAGGCCTTACTAGAAAAAGACTGACCTCCTCCTAAGGAAGAGATTCTGACAGCAGACTGCCTTTGGAGTCAAACTGCAACTCTTCTCTGTGTCTCCAGCTGCTGCCTACCTAGCTGATTTTGGCCTTGCCAGCCTCCATAGTCACATGAGCCAATTCCTTAAAATAGATCTCTCTCTTATCTCTTTCTCCATATATACACACACACCCTAGGGGTCCTGCCTAATACTGTCATGGTGCAGCTGTCTTTAAGCTTGCTGAGGGCAGGTGCTGTGTTTCCTTTGTTCAGCCCTCTGTCACCCATACCTGGCACAGTGCTGGCTCCCTATTAGTAGCCTGGTGATTACTGGGCTCTTCCCACTTTCTATTTTCCAGTTAGAAAGTCTGCCCCAGTGAGAGCCAAGAGTGACTGGGGTAATGGATTCATCTCTGGGGCTGTAGTGAATTTTTAGTGCCTGCCAGGGCAGATGGTGAGTGGTTTCGAACTGGATGTGGTTGTGCATTTTGGGAGCTGAGACTTCCACATGGGGAAGAGAGCCTGCGAGGTCCAGGTACCTGCCTTTGGCCAGCCACTCTGTGGACTGGGCCAGAGCACAGCTATCGCAGGAAACTGCAATTGCGATGGAAAGGTGGGAGAGGGAAGCTGCGTGCTTTTTGCCATAATCAGTTCTCACTTTAACAATTGTAAACAGACTGGCACCAGAAAAAGGTAGCTTTTCTCAAGTTTTATTGTAAAATCCTCAGAAAAAAGAGCATTTACAATGACAATACTTTATGATAATTTGTGAGTCATCGTTATAACAACTGGTACTGCAAATACACCATGTGTTCGATACTGTGTAATAGGTCAAAGTAAATACAAACTTATTTCAAATGCCACGTACGATTACTGTGTTGGTACAAATTTCTACTAAAGTTGATGTATTAAAAATAATTTATATATATTTTATAAATAAGGAAAAATTCACATGTATAATAATTACAGGAGGCCTTTTGAGAAATACTGGTGATTACAGAAAATATATTTTGGAGTCTACACAACTGTTCAAAATAATGTAATCTGCCTTGACATGAGAGATCTGAGAGTTTTCTGAGGTGGGGAAGCATGAGACTTGAACAGGACAAGTGATGTGTGTGGCTTCACATCTTGAGGGTCACTCAGCTGCACTACAGCATGAAACGGTGTGTGTGACCACGCCAGCAAAACTCCATGTCCCGTTCTGTTTGAGATAATCTCACACAGCCTTCAGGAAGCATGAGAAGCAGGGGAAAGGTAGGAAGCCCCAGGGCGGGGCCAGGCCAGGAAGGATGAGGGGACCGGCCAGCTGTGGGAGCCAGGTGGGGAGGGTGTGGGGAGCCGTGGGTCTGTGTTGTGCGGCTTGCAAGCCTGTTTCCCTCACCCTCTCCAAGTAGCATGGGACCCACAGCTCTTCAGCCTATGGTAGATGTCATGCTGGGCAGTGGATAAAGGTTTAGATTTGGGGCATTTTCTCAGTTTAGAGCTCTTGGGCTCTTGGGCCTCACAACCTAGCCAATACTCATTGCTCTTACTCAGAAACAAAGCTCTGATCCTGATGAGGGTGCCTCTGAAGGGCAGCAGTCTCTGATCCTGCCAAGCCATGTCGCCAGGCTTGGTATAGGGGTGAGTCAATAGTTATGGCTTTGTGGAGTGCTGGCTGAGCCCTCTAAAGCCCTCTAAGGCATGGCCCATGTTCTCTGGGGCCACACGAGCAAGGGTTGGTTCCACATATGTAAAGATGACCTTGGAAAGAAGCATGTGTGAATTGTGGCTTTTTTTTTTTTCCTAAAGTACATGCTAAACACTCTGAAGCCTGAAGCCTTGCTGTGAATTTTGAGGAAAATCCCGAGTCTTATATTCTCCATAATTTCACACATTGTATTTAGTTAAATTAGCCTTCCCCACTTGCTGCCCACGGCTCCAAAGGAGGATGTGGGTGCACAGGACAGTGCTTGTGTCCCAGGGTCTGCTGTGTGGCTGCTGCCTAAAGCATGCAGGCCCAGATAAGATGCTCACATCCTCAAGTGACTTAGCAGGTAACCTGGGAGAGAGAAAAGCAGGGAGTGGATTACATCCCACTGGCTACTCGGGGTCTTGTAGTCACACCCTGAAGATAGGCACTGTATTTTTTTCTCTTGAATTTTTAAAGCCTCTCTGTTTTGATGATCTCTAGAATTTTGGAGAGAAACCAAGGCAGCAAGGGACTTTCTCGAACAAAATTTCTTTGCCTATGTGCCGGTCTGGGAGCATGCAGTAGTCTCTGGCCTGTGAATGACTTCCGGCTTGTACCCCAAAGCAGGAAAGCAGCACGGGTCAAGGCCCCAGGGTGGGGGCTGGTGTAGCAGTCAGGTCAGTTGCTCCTTGAATGGCAGGAGCTGTTGTGGAGTGGCTCATGAGCAGAGGGCCCAAGAGACAGGAATGGAACAGGAAAGGGGGAGAATAAAAAGGGAATGGAGGGAGGTTGGGGGGCTCGGCCCTCTGAGAGATGAGGCTTGGCTGAGATGTCATGGTCTCTCTGTTCCTGCCAGATGGCACCTGACTCCCTGATGGTTCTGAGACAGCTCTCTAGTCTTGGTCACCTAGCTCCAAAGGTCTGCAAGCGAGGGTTTGGAGGGTGTGACTCTGGGCAGTAAGGGGCTGTGTCCCCATGGGTTCTGACTGTTCTTGGAGTGGAACCTGGGTCCTGGGTGAAACTGTCAGGACCTCTGTGGCAGTGCTGCAGTCTTCCTCTGTTACCTGCCTGGCCTCCTGGCTGGGGGTGGAGGGGAGTAGCATTCCAGGGGTGCTGGGTGCAGGGGAGAATGTGAGGTAGATTGGTGGATGCATAGGAAGGTGGGAGTGGTAGTGTCACCTCTCCTGGAGGCTTGTTTCTGAAAAGGAGGGCTGAAGAGTGGGAGAGAGAGTTGTGGGATTTGCTAGTGAAGATGGTTCAGCATCTGTAATATTAGAATGAAACACATCATGATACATGAATCAACTACACTTTTTAAGCTTCATGTAGAAAAATATATCCAGAATGAATGTTTCACAACTCAGTTCGGAAATCTTCTGTAGTTCACAGATTATTGGTCAACAGAAAACAAGATGTGGCCGTACAAAGCCAACTCCTGGCTGCTTTCCTAAACGAAGGCTCAGCAGTTGCAATCTCTATGGCAGCAGGCCGTTCTCTGCTTTATTTGGGGTTGAAAGCTGGCTTCCAGTGCCTACCTGGAATCGGGAGCTTTGTCTGCACTGATGGAGACGGGGAAATGGCCGGGTTGGGGGTGAGAATTGCAGGGGCTGAGCGTCTGTCCCTGGTGATGCTATCTCTAGGTCAAAGTACCTGAAGTTTGCTGTTACTAGTTGGCCCTAGCCGGGATTTACAGGGCTCTTCCAGCTTCTTCCTGGAGCTTGGGGGAAAGGAGGACACTCAAATGTCTTGGAGGCTGAGGAAATAAGCCTGGGCCAGCCCCAGGCAGGGTGGACTGGGTCAGTGTTGGTGAGGCTGGGATGATGGCTTTGGCTGTGGGTGTGGCACCTGTCAAAACTCCTCATGCAAGAGGGTCATGCCATTGTCCAGAAGCTGGCAGTCCCCCTTCCTGCCATCCGTTTGGGGCTGCTTGGGTGGGCTTTTGGACCCAGAGCCTTTATGCGGGGATCTGCCCACTGGAGCAGAAGAACGAGGGCCTCCATTTCCAAAGCCTTCCTGTCACCACAGGGGCAGATTATTTGTCATTTTGGAAAAAAAAAAAACGAATTTTTGTGAAATTAACTTTATTTCAAAATAACTGAGGGAGTTTATATAAATAGCTTTCTTGATGATTCTTTTGGTAAAGTCAGTACTTCTTTAATAGTGTAAAATATCAGTGGTGAATTGATTTTGTGTGTTCATCAGAAGGATTACCTGCTGGGCTTGCTACAGGAGGCCCCATGTAGGGAGGCGTTTCCTACCAGGGGCTTTCCAACTGTGTTCCACGAACTTCTTCTGGGGCAAAGTGTGGGGGAAAGCTCAGGCTGATCTGGTCCTCCTCCTCCTCCTCCCGCCCCTGACTCCCCACCTTACCAGCTCTATCGGCTTCCTTGCTGAAAACCATTTACCTGCCTGCATTGACTTTGCCTCCTGGGGCTGGACTCCTGAATCCCTGACCTAGGCTTCAGGCCTGCTTCGATTCAGTTGTGTCTGGCATGCTGTCAGTGAGACCTAAGCCTGCCGTCTCCAGGAACTGCACTGTGGGGACAGTGAAGGGAAGATACGCTTTTTAGACGCACTTCAAGACGGAAGGGATAGCGGGAGAGGGACAGGTGCTGCAGAAGTTGACTCCGTCCCTCCCGATTATTTTAAAAGGCCAGTTTGGGTTGAACTGGTCTTTGACTTAGGAATCCTGCTGCCCAGAGAGGCTGATGTTCTGGCTTGCTCTTTGGTGGGACTTCTCCTCCTTTGGGCTCAGAGATCCTTTTTCTGTTAGGGGCTGACACAACTGAGTTTTTCCAAAAAGAGAAGTTTATGAAAGTTAGAGTATTTTGGTGGTAAAAATGGGAGACTGGGAGTGAACACATCAAGATACTGAGACAGGAAAAAGAAAGGGTGAGATGTATCGTCCATGCATCCCCAGCTACTGTGGAACTGCATTCTAGGATTTTGAGGTTCACTTCCTCAACTTACATCTATACAGCAGTCCCTTTAAAATAAAAAGCATGAACCTCCATGTCTAGGCACACCCCTAGGAGTCACAGGGGACAGGCGTTTGGTGGACTAAGATCCATGAGATATACAGGACAAGTGATTATCTCATGAGATCTGTGGTGGGCGATGCAGGCGGCTTGGGCAGCAGGCGGGAGGGAAAAGGAGCTGTGCGTGTTGAGAGTGACACAGAGTCTAGGTTTTCCTCTCCTCGAAGGGGTTCGTTCCTCAATGGCAAAGGAAAATCCTGGTCTTGTCAGCAGGTGAAGGTGGCCAAATTAGCAGACATCTGTGGTAAGACCACTTCTCCCAACCCCATGTGGCTTGCAAAATGGTCATTCAAACCAGAACACATGTAAGTTTTGGCCACTGATACGTGTGAGAGGGAAGGGGAGCCCGTTTTTGCTGAGCGTCTCTGATCTAGGCGGGTCTCTAGGGGTCTGCGTGGGCTGTACTTCTTCGATGCCCGCCTGAGAGTCACCACAGCCTGACGTGGGGAGAATGCAGTAGTGCCAGCCCGCCGCCTTCCGATTCTGGGTTTTGCAGTGCGTGTGTTTTGACTGGGGAATGTGGGTAAGAAAACCCTCGCTGAAATGTGCTCTCTCTGCAGTGCTGATGCGGAGATGGGGTACCAGAGATGAGCAGATAGGCCACAGGCAGAAAAAAAAAATCTGTTTTGAAAAGGTGTAGCTTCAGGAACTCACCTGGCTCCACTCGTGTCCTTGGGGTTTCTGCACTGAGCCTGGAGGCCACCCATACCTTGTCAGGCAAGCCCAGTCTGCCCTGAATCTGGGCCACCAGACCTGACTAATGAGATGTCCCCCTTCTGTGCTGAAAAGCAGGCACACAGAACTTGTCCTGGTCTCTTGGGATCCCAACACAGAACCAAGTCCTTACCAACAAGGTGGCCTGGTCTGCTCTCGGAGAAGCAGAGTGGCCACAGTTGACTGGGCGGTATTCTTAGATCATTGTTCTTTCTGGCTGTGGACTGTGGGGTTGTGACCCCCCAGAGACTCAGCCTAAGGCAGGGAAGGATAGAGTTGGACCTCGGAGAGCATCTTTCTGCTTACTAGCATTTGAGATTATAAAAAATTATTTTTTTAATCAAAAATTCCCAAAATAAAGTGAGTGATTTCCCCATCCCCCAAGATGCAGTCAGTCTTGTTGGCTCTCCCTCAGGCTTACAGCAAGTCAAATGGAAAGAAAAGCAAAAAGCAGCTTTGAGGGAGAAGATGAGGTCCCATGCGAGGACGGATGGGCTTTCAGTTCAGGAGGGAGGCCCCTGCTCCTGGTCAGCCTCTGCTTCCGGGCCACTCCATCAGGCCGAGGTCTGGCTGGGTCTGGTGGTAAGGGACAATGACTATGTGAAGGCAACCGACAGAGGTGTCCGCCTGGAGAGCAGGATCCCTTGGTTCCGTGATGTCCCCAGGTCCTATGGCGTGCAGCTTGGCACAGAAATGATCCCTTTACACAGCAGCATGTGTTCCCATCGTAGCTGAAGGCGTAAATCATACTTCCTAACAAAAAAACCCCGATCTTGGTAGCAGCGCATACCTTATACTAGGAAACTTGCAAGGAGACCAGTGTTGAACCACAAAGCGAGTACAGGTTTTTGCTTTTGTCTGTAAAAATGTACAGCGCACCTGCTTGGGCTGCAATGTCAGGATGAGGGGAAGCTCCTTGGCCCAGGGCTCTGCTCTGGGCTCTTCATACCTCACCCACCCACACCACTGTGGTCCCCCCCTTTATGCCTGACACTTCA